GAACCACTATATGTGTTAGCATCAGGTTGTTCTGCCTCCTCCTTTTAGGTGGATCTTTACTGAACCTTAGATAGTATACACATGTGCTGATCAGTACTCAACTGAAGTTTTGGGGGCAAAGGACACTGTCTTAATTCTCAGGAATTCCCTGTCTGTACTACTTTGCCTCTCCATGCAGGGTTCTCCTCTCTAGTACAATGTGCTATGAATTTTAGCCACATTGATCTCCCCAAATTTTCAGATCTGTCTCTTTGACTTGTTGGCTTCCCTCTCCTCACATAGCAGACTGGAAACTTTCCAAGCAGCAAACTGGATGATCATAAGACTTATCTTGTTTTTTTGTTCTTTGGATTTTTTTCCTGTGCTGCCTATTGCCCAGTGCCTAAAATCTGTTGTTTAATGTGTTTGCTGTTTGTTTTCCTACTTTTTAGTTGATGAGGGTAGGCAGGTATGGCTGGTCCCTGTTACTCCAGCATGGCTGAAACAGAAATTCTTTCTATTTGTGATTTATAATTAACTATTTTAAAGGGTAACTATCAGCTGCATTTATTACTCTTTATTATTTTGTTGTTTGATTAAATAAACATTAATTTTTAATTTCTTACAGGTACTATTTATAGAAATGAAAATATTTCTATTGCTTCAAATATGTAGAGCAAACACTTTTTCTAGAATTAAGACTGTAGTACAGTTTAGATTATTCATTTATCGAATTCTTAGTTCTAGCATGTTTTATTAAATTGGTATAATTTTTTTTAAAATAGGTTTTGGTAAGATACAGAAAGATTATAGTAAGAAAATAATTGTACTGAATAATTTTACTGAATAATTTTTTATTATCCATCCCAAAGATAAATTTAAATGGAGGTTTTTCTGATAATATATATTAAACAGAATATTACCTTTTTGCCTCATTGGATGAGATACTTTTCATACTTTCTCTCATCTAATCTTTAAAGAAATTATGGGAATAGTATTGATTCTGTCTTATGTGTGAGGAAATTAAAGACCTAAGAAGTTAAATAACTTGACCAAGATATGTTTTTACTTAGTATTTCTAGGAAAGCATAACTGACTCAAATGTGATGTTTTTTTGAGCAGTGGCCTTACGGAGACTTTGATTTATTTAAAACAAGTCTGTTGTTGGCTATAATTTACCTACTACCCCTCATGACAGACAAACCCATCGAGATCTCCAAGATATTATTCATAGTTTTTAGTATCTTTAAAAGTTAGAGATAAGCTTAGTGTCTATGAGAGATTAGTTAAGTTACTCTATAGAGCTATTGCAAATTGGAAAGAACTCTTAATAACATAGATAAGAGTCAAAACATTCACTTCAGAAGGTCACAAAACAGCATATAAAGAACTTGTATTCTTGTTTTACAAAATACAATGTTTTTGTATGTTTACAGATAAGTAAAAGATTTTAGGGATAATCACCAAAGTCATTCATGACGTTGAAATCAACTTCTTCCAAACTCCTGTTAGTATTGATTTTGTTTTCACAACCCTTCCACCCACCAATATTTTAATCTCCTCCCATGAATCACAAATGTTCTTAATGGCATCTAGAATGGCAAATTTTTTCCAGACAGTTTTCAGCTTACTTTGCCCGTATCCATCAGAGGAACCACACTATCTATGGCAGCTTTAGCCTTAGAAAATGTATTTCTTTAATAAGACTTGAAAGTCAAGATTATTCCTTGATCCACAGGCTTCAAAGTGGATGTTGTGTTAGCAGGTATGAAAACATTAATCTCCTCATACATCTCTGTCAGAGCTCTTGGGTGACCGGGTGCATTGTCAATGAGCAGTAATATTTGAAAGGGATCTTTTTTTGTGAGCAGTGCCTCAACAGTAGGCTTAAGATATTCAGTAAACCATTCTGTAAACAGATGTTCTGTCATCCAGGTTTTGATGTTCTATTTATAGAGCACAGGTAGAGTAGATTTAGCATACTTCTTCTTAAGGGCCTTAGGATTTTTGAAATGGAGTATTGGCTTCAACTTCAAGTTACCAGTTGCATTAGCCTCTAACAGAAGAGTCAGCTTGTCTTTAGAAGCTTTGAAGCTTTCTGTAGCTTTGAAAGTCCTAGATACTATCTTCTTCCAATAGAGGGCTGTTTTGTCTACATCAAAAATCTGTTTTTTAATGTAGCCACCCCATCAATGATCTTAGCTAGATCTTCTGGATAACTTGCTGCAGCTTCTGCATCAGCACTTGCTGCTTCACTTGCCCTTTTATATTATGGAGATGGCTTCTTTCTTTAAACCTCATGAACCAGCCACTGCTAGTTTCCAGCTTTTCTTCTGTAGCTTCCTCATTTCTGTCAGCCTTCACAGAATTGAAGAGAGTTAGGGTCTTGCTCTCTATTAGGTTTCGGCTTTAGGGAATTTTGTGGCTGTTTGGATCTCTCCAGAGGACTAAAACTTTCTCTTATCAACCATAAGACTGTTTTGTTTTCTTGTCATCTGTGTGTTCATTGGAGTAACACTTTTAATTTCCATGAAGAACTTTTTCTTTGTATTCACAACTTGGTTAATTGATGTAAGTGGCCTGCCTACCTTTCAGCCTGTCTCAGCTTTTGATGTGCCTTACTTACTAAGCTTAGTCTTTTCTAGCTTTTGATTTAAAGTGCAACTCTTCCTTTTACTTGAACACTTACAGGCCATTGTAGGGTTATTAATTGTCCTAAGTTCAATATTCTTGTATCTCAGGGAATAGGGAAGCCCAAGGAGAGGGAGAGAGTTGAGAGAGCTTCGATTGGTGGAGCAGTGAGAACATACACATTTATTTGATTAATTTCATTATCATATATGGGTAAGATCACAGATTACCGTAACAGATATTATGATAATGGAAAAGTTTTAAATATTGAGAGAATAACCAAAATGCGACACAGAGACATGGAGTTAGCACATGCTGTTGGAAAAATGATGCCAATAAACTTACTTGGTGCAGGGTTGCCACAGACTTTCAGTTTATTAAAAAATGCAAAATACCTGCAAAGCACAGTAAAGCAAAGCATGATAAAATGAGGTATGCATGTATATCAATTCATCACTTTTGATAGTCAAGAAAAATGGTATTATTAAAAATAAAATTTGCCCAAGGTCACACAGCTAGTAAATAGCAGTGCCAGAATTTATCTCACATTTGTTTAGCTTTAAAATCCATGTTCATTCTCCTGTTATATTCCTATGGTCATAAACTTTAGGAATTGTCCCAACAGCATAGAGTTGCTTTTATATAGATAGTTGCTCTCCTTTTCTGTGCCCTCTTTGTCTTTACAGGCTTATTCCTATTTTTTTTTTTTTCCCAGACCTTTAGTCTTATCTCCAAATTTCAAATCACTAGTTTATTCCCTGCTTCCAACCAACTTTTTCTACACTAAATTTGACAGGGAAAACAAAGGAAGCAGAATCAAACTGTGGTAACTAACCTCACAGTCCAGTCTCTATTAAAAAGCATGTATGCCCTAATAGGCTCCATTTATTAATATATTAGAAATAAGTTGAATGTGATAGTTATTTGAAATGATATTTATAATCAGAAAAATGTGATTATAAAACTTATAAATAATATCTGTTGAATGTTCTGAACATTAGTTATGGTTCGATATGTATTTCTTTATTAAGAAACATTATTCAGTTCTATTTTTTGAGAAGTTTATTATAACATGGACTTTATCCATACCACAGAATTTAACAAATGTTAACCTTTTAACATTTTCACCTCAAATTAAAAGAAAATAAGATATATATGAAATCAAAGTTAGCGATTTTGCTTCCCTCCTAGTCCACATTCCCTCCTTCCTTCTTCCTAGAGGTAATATGATCAATTTGGTGACATGGTATATGTATTTCTAGTCCCATGTTTTTAAAACTGTTACATATGTCCATAACATATATACTTGTTTTATTTTTGGTGTCTTATGTAACTATTATACTGCTCACCTTATTTTGCTATTTTCTGATTTCATATGTTATTTTTGACATATAATCATATGTTGATACGTAACAGATCTTTATTTTAATGTCTGCTACATGAATATATCAATTTGAAGAAAATCTTAATTATTTCTCTGTTCTTGAGGTTGTTTTCATTTTCCTTTTTTCATAATAAAATCAATGCTGTAGTGAACATGAATGTCTTCAATGTAGTGAACGTGAATGCACATGTGTAAATATTTCTCTCAATATGTAATTAAGAGCAAAATCACTAAGAGGCATTTTCATTTTTATTAAGTTTTTGTCTAATTATCCTCCACAGTTATTTTATCAATTTGCATTCTACCAGCAGTATATGAGAATTCCTGTTCAAAACATTTTCAACTGTTGATATTAGAAGACTTGATTTTTTTGTAGTTTGTTGGTATGAAAAGATATCCTATGATTTTAATTTATATTTTTTTGACTACTAGAAACGTTGAATATCTTTTCTTCTATTTATTGGTCATTCAGTTTTTCTATTCTGTGGGAAAAAATATCACCGGTTTATATTCTATTAGTATTCCTGTTTTCCTCTTAACTGCAGCTTTCTTAATGATTTTCAGGATTGTTACGTGTGTATTGGTTATAAACTGGTTGTTAAATATGTTACAGACATTTCCCAGCCTGTGGCTTATTTTTCACTTTTTTCATTTAAATATTTAAAATTTTGATATATGTTTTCCTGAGTTTTTTTTCTATTTTTTTCTAAACAAAAACATTTCTCTAAACAAATTAGTCTCTATCCCAAAGCCAAGAAGATATTATTTTATTCCCCTCTAGAATATTTAAGGTTTTGTTTTTGATATTTCTTTTCTATAAAACTGTGGAAACTTTCCTTATATTTTTTAGGGTAAATAATTATGTATTTGTTTCTTTTGTAATTTATATAAGCAAGATGAATATTGCCTGATAGCTCCTTTGTTAGGCTATTTAAATGGACATATTTTTGAAATGTCTATAGTCTTAGATTAATGATATTAAATATTATTTGTTTCTCTTTCCCAGATTAGAAATCATTTTTCAGTCCCACTCTCTGTTTATGAAGGGAATACCTTGTTGGGAACTGCTTCACCTGAAAATGAATTCAACATACCATTACCATCTTACCGGTGATTTTTTCTTTATTTTTTTATTTGCTATAAGATCTCCTATAAAATTTTTAGTTTCTTAATCTGTATGGATAACTTTGATCAAATCCACCCTACTAATATCTCATCTAACTTATTTAAGTTTTGG